GAATTGATGTGTTGAGCAGGGTGAAGAGAGTTAAGGCTGGTGGAACAGGACAAGTAACAGGCTTACAGTGCAGCTGTGCTGCTCAGCCAGGGCATCCCTCCTAGAGAGACTCAAATCATTAACCTCACCAGTTGTTCTGGCCTCCTGCTTTTTGTAGGTGAGATAGCAGCATCTCAACAAGTGAAAGCACACTGTAGCCAAATTTGTAATGCCTAGTGCTTAAAGATTGACTGTGTGTTTGGAAGCAACTTACCCAGTGTGTTGCTCAACTGAGGTGCATTAAAATACCCTCAGCTTTTCTCTGCTACTCTCCTACGTCTGTTTTTCTGTCTGGTGCATTTTGTAATCCCATGAGCTCTAGCAGCTGTGAAGTATTTTAAAGCAATTTCAAGTTCAGCATTGCGTTCCCAGGGCAACCTTGAAGAGGGTTGTCAATGCCTGGCAACACAAGGCTGTGGGCAGCAATAAGAGCAGTCAGCCATAAGGAACTGAATTTTATCAGGGTGGTGTATAAATATGATTAAAACTTCAGAAAGCTTGAATAAACATCAGATTCTTGAGTTAGTTCAGCTGGATGTGGCAAGAGAAATCTCAAAGCTTATGTTGCTGTGTTTTGTTGGAAATTCACCTGCTGTTGACCAAAGGGTTTGAGGACTTGGCACAGGGCAGGTGGCATGAGGATACATGCTGGATTTCTGGGGGCATGTGCCCTGTCAGGGAAGGCATGTGCTACTGTCCAGAGGTTGAGACAACAGCAAAACCTTCATTTAACTTTAGCCTGGGTTTTATACACCATGTCTTCCACTCGGATGTTCTTAGAAGTGATGCACAGTGTAGGTATTGCTTGGGGTCTCTGGGAAGGGCAAGGATCCACCAGGAGAAGTATTTTTTTGGAGTGATGCCTATTGTACAAATTGTTGCTCAGAGAAAGGAATGAGCATTTAATGGGGATATGATGCCTGTATCCTGGTCTTTCTGGCTGAAATGAGCTGGAAGCATCTCCTGGTGTTTCAGTGTAACTTATCTAACCCCTTGCACTTCTGTATTCCTCCTTCCCACTGTAGGCCATTGGACGCCCACACATGCCAGCCTACTGGTCTCTGGGATTTCAGCTCTCCCGCTATGGTTATAACAGCATCGATGTTTTAAAGCAAACTGTTGATCGCATGCACCACTATGATATCCCATACGTAAGTATGAATTTTTCACTGTGCATGCTAATTTTACAATCCAAAGTGAGGTAAATAAAATTATACTAGAGGAAAAATAATTATTCTATGAAGCATTTGAGCATGAGGTTTAAGTTCTTCTCTTGGCAGCATAGCAGGAGATTCTGGTGTGGATTTGCTGTTTTGCAGTACAAGGTGCTAGCATTTTTAAAACATTTTATGGTACTTCTGATGCATTTCACTGCAAAATAGTTGCTGGACCATGTAAGTTTGTAGGAGCTGAATTTGGCCTGACAATTATTTACTATTATTATGGCCAATCTCTTAGGTTTCATTTCTTATGCTAGTTACCTTTTAGAAATGCAGTTGCAGACAGTCTGATTTTCTGTATCAGATACTTAAATCATAGAATCATAAAATAGTTTGAGTTGGAAGGGACCATTAAAGGCCATCTAGTCTAACCCCTCTGCAATGAGCAAGGACATCTTCAACTATGTAAGGTTGGTCAGAGCCCCATCCACCTTAACCTTGAAAGTTTCCATGGATGGAGCATTTACCATCTCTCTGGGCACTGTTCCAGTGTTTCACCACCCTCACTGTAAAAAATTTCTTCCTTATGTCTAGTCTGAATCTTTCTCCTCTTAATTTAAAACCATCACCCCTTGTTCTATTGCTACAGGTCCTACAAAAGAAGTCTGACCCTGTCTTTCTTGTAAGCCCCCTATAAATATTGAAAGGCTGCAACAAGGTCTCCCCGGAGCCTTCTGTTCTCCAGGCTGAACCCAAACTCTCTCAGCCTGTCCTCATAGCAGAGGTGCTCCAGCCCTCTGATCATTTTTGTGGCCTTCCTCTGGACTTGCTCTAACATGTCCATGTCTTTCTTGTGCTGAGATCTCCAGAGAGGGATGAGATTCTCATCTAATGTTTACTTTTAAAATATTTAGGATGTCCAACATCTTGATATCGACTACATGGAACGTCGCTTGGACTTTACCTACGATAAAGTGAATTTTGCCGGTCTGCCAGAGTTCCTCAAGGAACTGAAGAAGAAAGGAATGCACAGTGTTGTGATTCTGGTAAGTTAACAGTGTTGCCAGCTATTTCTCCATTTGTCAGACCTATTCACAGCATAGTCTTCATAGCAGTATCTAGGTTCTAATACATATATCCTATTTTAGTAGATTTTCCAGAGCATTGACTGTCTTAAAAAAATAAACTTGAAAGTACTTAATAATTTCACATTGCTTTTGCCTTATACAAGAAATATTCATTACACATCTTTAATGGCTTATTCTAAATTATTATGTGCTCTCAATTCTTGTTAAATTTTAATGCTGTTTTCTTCCAACATTTTTGCAATCTACATTATGAACATAATACAAATTTTTCTAAAAATACAAAATACTCAAATAGAAGAGTAATTTTTACCTCTGGGATTTCAGTAATGGAAGTGTAATCGCTGTTTTTAGGACCCTTTCATAGCCAAGGATGAGGAGCCAGGCACTTACAGACCTTATGATCTTGGCCAGGAAATGGGAGTCTGGGTGAACAACTCTGATGGTGTAACTCCTGCTGCTGGGAAGGTGAGTTTATTAAATACTCTGGAGCATTTGGTCTACTGCTGCTTCAAAATGATAGAGTAGCTGTGCAGCAGATATGAGAAAATAACCAGGATTTACCCCTGTGACCCCTAGGCGTGGCCTCCCGGAGAGTCTGTGTATCCTGACTACACCAACCCCAGGACAGCGGAGTGGTGGACCCAGATGTGCGTGGAGTTTAAGGATGTCCTTGACTACGATGGGATCTGGATTGTATGTCTCATTATACCTGTCCTCCCCTCTTTTAAAAAAGAAAATGAGTTTTTTTGACGCGTCTCACTCTCTTTATTAAAGGATATGAACGAACCCTCAAATTTTGGAAGAGGCCAGAATCCTGGGTGTGCTGATAATGAAATCAATAACCCTCCCTACATTCCTAGTAAGTCAAATATCCTTGTCAATCATATTTTAATTTAAAAAATTTTTTTAAATCCTGTATAGGCTATATTTTAGGAAAGAAAAGATATCCATCCTCTTTTTTTGCATCTTCCCTGCCTGTTCCATTTGTTCAGTTAAATATTTTTCCAAGATTCCAGTGGCTCATTTTTGATGGAGTATCAAAAATCAACCACTTTCCTCTGTCCCTGCCTTGTAACGGGACTAGGAAAATGACCTTTCCCGCCATTCTCTGAGTAACTTATCTGCATCGAAGAACAGGAAACCTCAAATCAGAGCAAGTCCAGTACTTCAGCTTTTCCTCTAAATGCTTTAGTGTTTTCACCCCTAAATGTGTAGAAATGTGAGAAGGTTTGAACTGTGATGTATGTGAATTTATAGTGCTTTGTATCATTTTCAGAAATTTCTGATCGGTCCCTGGCACAGATGACATTGTGTCCTGACTCCAAGACTTACCTTGGAGATCATTATAACACACACTCTCTCTTCGGCTGGTCAGAGACAAAACCAACTTTCGAGTAAGTTTTCTAAGTATTTCTAATCAGATTTCAGGTAATTGAAATGCATTTTAAAAGCGGCAGATGTTACCTGGGAAATCAATAATTTACATCAAGAAATACATTTGACAATATTGGGACCTGTTTGGTGATGGTTTGTGATAGACTGAAATTATTCAATAAATCTCTTGTAGCAAATTGTTTATACAGCTCTGGACTAGAGTTGACTTGATCAGGTATTGTCCATATTAGCACCTGTACTTGCAAATGGAGCCAAAGGCAGCCAGAGGAGAGCACTCCTACTCAGGACATCCATGAAATGGCTCCAAAATGCCATTTATACAAAGCATGTGGAGTCTTGTCCAGTTATTGGTCCCAGCAGTGCACATACAAACCAGAACCAGCGGGTCCCACATGGTTCAAGGATTACACTGCTTGCTGCATATGGTCCCTAAGGTTAATATGTTTAGTCTTCCAGGAATGCTCTTAGATTTTTTTTGCCTCAGAAACAAGTTTTGAAGTACTTTAAAGCCTCTGTGCCTTTACAGACTCAATAGTGAATACTGGGCCAGTATGAGTATGGATGAAAGAGCTCTTGATCAAATGTCGTCAAGGAAAGGGAGAAGGAGGTGGATGGTGAACAGCATGATTATTATTTCATGCCAGGATATCCCAGAGAATCTAAATTGTGTTGTCCAAATCATGTTAAGCAGAATTGAATTTGACTTCCTGCAATATATAATATTGCAACATGTAATTATGTACAGAGATTAACCTATGGTGAGGAATTTTGTAACAGATTTGTTAATAAGGCTGTAGCAGGTTGACCCTGGCTGGATACCAGACACCCACCAAATCTGTTCTATCACTCCCCTCTGCAAATTTGCAGGGGAAAAATAAATAACAAAAGATTCATGAGTTGAGATTAGGACAGGGAGAAGTCACTCATCAAATACTCTCATGGGCAAAACAGATTCAGCTTGGGGAAATCCAAGGTGCTCTGACATGCACCTTGCTGACCTCCATGGGCTACAGGGGCACAGCTACTTGACCATGGTCTTCCTGCAGGGAATCCTCAGCTCTGGCACTTGGAGTAGCTCCTCCTCCACCTTCTCCACTGACCTTGGTGTCTGCAGAGTTGTTCCTCTCACATGTTCTCACTCTTCTCTTCTCTGGCTGAATTGCTTCTGTTCACTAACTTTTTTCTTTCTTAACTATGTTATCACAGAGGTGTTAGTACCACCACTGATTGGCTTGACCTTGCTGCAGTGGTGGGTCCATCCTGGAGCCACTGGCATTGGCTGTGCTGCACAATGCCAGCCGGGGAAGCTTCTGAATGTACTAACACAGAAAGGAAATTATGTATCAATTTTTATACTTTGAGGCACTGCTAAGAATAAATGAAACACAAATTGTTATTTAGGAAGACCAAAAATGCCTGAGAAAAATTGTTTTGTAAATCAGGTACATTTTAGTTTTAATATTTTTATTTTGGTTGCTGAGTAAACCTTACCTTTACTTGCAGTTTTGCAGCCACATTTTCATGTGACTTGGGACCACAATAAAAATTGTTTCATGAAGAACGTGAATAAAATTGTGCCTCAATGCTCAGGCTGATCATGTGATCTTTTGGTTACCATCCGTGTTTTTAATGACCTTGTTGCCTTTCTTTGCAGTGCTGTCCAGCAGGCAACTGGCAAGCGAGCCTTTGTCTTGAGTCGGTCCACATTCGTTGGCAGTGGGAAGCACGGTGGTCACTGGCTGGGTGACAACTACTCCCAGTGGAAGGACCTGCGCCGGTCAATCGTTGGAATCCTGGAATTCAACCTCTTTGGCATTCCCTATGTAAGTCTGGTGTCCTTCAGGCACAATAGCACTTCAAATTAACTCAAATATTTTCTGAACAAGACATGTGAGATAGCCAGTAGTAACGGCCTCTACAGTGAAGAGACTGCAGATTAAAAAAGGCTAAATGTCATCAGTCTTGGCTGCTGAAGGGAAACAGAAACAGTACTGCAAGGTACAGACTGAATCACTGCATGCCATCCAAACCTGACCCCTTTGTCCTATGTATTCTATGATCGAGGCCCCTTCATATATTTATGGCTTTGCAGACTGCGATGGAGAATTTGTATAATGATTGAAACACACTCAAATATTCCACAGTGATGTTGCTGCTCTAGGAGCTAGTACAGTCTCAGACCCAGGGAAATTTGTGTCATTATGAAGCAATCTGATTAAGTAATGAGAAATAGGTATTTCTTATAAAAAATTATTTTTATGAAAAAGCTTCTGTAATGTCTCATTATTGGGCCTCAGTCACAAACACTTATGATTGTATTTTTCTTTAGATTGGTGCTGATATCTGTGGGTTCAACTATAACACTTCCTATGAACTCTGCCTGCGCTGGATGCAGCTTGGCTCCTTCTATCCATTTTCCAGAAACCACAATGGACTGGGACACAATGTAAGTAAAAAAAGTTATATAAAGAAGTATTCCATGATTACAGTAATGATGACAGAAATTTGTATTATTTTCTCAGAAATTAACCTGCCATTCTTGGGTAAACTGGAGCAGTGGGTGAAAAGGAGTGTTGCATTGAGAGCAGGGGTTACACAGTGAAGTGTAAATTTTTCCCATCCCTAATGTAAAAATGACATAGAAATGCTGGTCTTATGCTGTTGGTAAAATTCATCTGCTCCATCTTTTACCTACTGAAGTCCAGGCTTTATTTAAGAGGCAGTGAGTGTCAACACATCTTTCTACTCCCTCCATTGCTTCAATTTTTTTCTCCGTGCTTCTGTAATTTTACTAAGTATGGCGGAGAGGGGAGAGAGGTCATTATACACCATCCTTGCTGTTTTAAAGCAAGTTATAAACATGTGATAACTCCAAGGAGAGGCACCAATAGCAACAGTCAATGTAATCATGCTTTTGACTTTGATCTGCAGATTATCAGTCTTCCCTTTCTCCTGTGTTTCACCTCCTTTGTCCCAGAGGTCTTGCATCTGCAGGATAAATTAATTTCTAGAGACAGGGTGTCTGTTCCTGAGCATAGACATGAAATCCCAGCTCCTCTCCCGTCACAAGATCAGGGGTGGTTGCAGAGGGCTCGCATACGTTGTGGTGGGGCTGATCTCTGAACTCACTGCAACTTTTAAGTTGAAATGTTTTATGCAAACATGAGTTTTGTAATAACAGATGTTGCTCGGAATACATCTTCCCATTTGCAAATCAGTGGGGTTTTTTTATTTAAGCACTCACTTTCATAGCATCATGTCATGCACAGCTCTTGTTATGTTGCACACAGGTTCTCTGTTGAATTTGCAGTCCATAGGTTAAATGCACAGTACAAATCAAAGCTTTGATGTTTTATGCAAACATGAGTTTTGTAATAACAGATGTTGCTCGGAATACATCTTCCCATTTGCAAATCAGTGGGGTTTTTTTATTTAAGCACTCACTTTCATAGCATCATGTCATGCACAGCTCTTGTTATGTTGCACACAGGTTCTCTGTTGAATTTGCAGTCCATAGGTTAAATGCACAGTACAAATCAAAGCTTTGCCTTAACAGGAGCAAGACAGTGTTTGGATTGGAGATGAGTTTGCCAAGATCTCCCGTGCTGCCCTTCGCATCAGATACTCACTGCTGCCATACTTGTACACCTTGTTCTACGAGTCTCACGTTCACGGGAGCACAGTGGTGCGCTCACTGATGCATGAGTGAGTTTGGAGTCTCTGTTTTTATCACCATTTACTCACAAGTCTTTGAGCTTTTATGCATATACTTGTTGACATCTGTATGAGAATAGTCACAGTATTATTATTGCATGCTCTCTCTTAAAAGAACAGTATTAAACCAAATTACATGCACAAAGATAAGTCTTAATATACACAATGAATTTTCATTAAAATGTAGCCCATATTTTTTTCCAGTGAGGGCAAAAAAAAACCCTAAGAAAGGAGAATTCTGAAAATTTCTCGTCTTAGGAAATATGCATTTTTGGGTTTTTATGTCAAAAATAGGAATGAACACCAAAAAGCCTCATATGCAGAATACAATCATCCACAGCATTTGGTTTTTTTCCAATTTAGCACTTGCATCTGCATGCTATCTATGAAACCCACATCTGTGTCCACAAATTGCACAGGGAAAACAGAGATTGAGATGTTTGAGGGTAGAAGCAGGTGCTAAAATTAAATAAACTGAGATTAATAAACACAGACTTAACAACCCCTCCGAATATTTGAGTCAGGTTTTTAGAACAACTCAGTTTTTCTGTATGAAAGAAGCAGGAATCCAACTGAGGTTTGGTTTCCCTCTCTTCATCTTTTAGTTCATGTTTTTACCTGCTTTTAGTCAGTTCTCTGCTTCAAAATGCTTTATGCAAAGACTTGACTAAAAGGAGTGCAAATAATACGTCTGAAAGGCTACTGCCCAAAGCTCTGGCACAACGGAGTTACGATGTGGACTGTTTAATGTTCTTTTCCCTTTGGGTTAAAAACATTCTGGATAAAGGGTAAGGCATTTTTTTGCAAATTAAACTGAGATTACACTAAAGTTCAAACCATTCATATATGGAAAAGATATGCACAAAACCTGTTTTTCTTACTCAGTGTGATGGTTAGCTATTACATTTTAAGAGCAGTATCCTTCCCCTTTCTGCTCTGTGGAGTTATTTTACTAGCTAATATTAAGGAGAATTTTATAGGTACCCATGACTTACTAGAGGCTATAAGCTATTTCAAGTATTAATTTTAGCTCTATTTTTGCTTAATGAGATTTGTCTTAAGATTGGAAATTCACAAGCTCATTTTTGCATTAATATTGGCTAATCTTTGCTAATACAGAATTATATTAGTGTCATTAGAGCTGCCTTTATGCTAGAGCTGCCTTAGCAGCATTCCTGTGCATTATTTGGGGCCACATCTACACCAGAAAATACGCAAATTTGCTTTGACTTGTCTTTTTGCTTAATGAGATTTGTCTTAAGATTGGAAATTCACAAGCTCATTTTTGCATTAATATTGGCTAATCTTTGCTAATACAGAATTATATTAGTGTCATTAGAGCTGCCTTTATGCTAGAGCTGCCTTAGCAGCATTCCTGTGCATTATTTGGGGCCACATCTACACCAGAAAATACGCAAATTTGCTTTGACTTGTCCTGTAGAGCAGTCTCAAATGCACCAGTGGAGGTTTCTGTTGGGCTGAGCTGAGCTGCCTTAGCAGCATTCCTGTGCATTATTTGGGGCCACATCTACACCAGAAAATACGCAAATTTGCTTTGACTTGTCCAGCAGTCCAGTCTCAAATGCACCAGTGGAGGTTTCTGTTGGGTAAAACTGAGCTGAGAGTTGCACTCCAGCCACAGATGGGAGTTTAGTCAGTGGGACCAGAGTGGGATTACTAGTAAATAAAAATACATGTAAGTAGTGTAGGCATCAGGAGATCAACACAAACTGTTTTGTCCTCCAGGTCCCATCCTAGTAGCATACTATTAGTCCCATCACTTGCTAATGTTGCCATTGATAGATCCTAAAACGGCTTCCAAGTGTTTCTTGCTATTATTATTATTTAATTCTGGTTACTATTATTGTTTAATGAGTATTTCTTACAATTTCTAATTCATATTCATTTGTTTAGTGAGTCTACTCAAAAAGAGAAAGTGACCCAGGGTCTAACAGGAGGAGAAATGTTGGATTTAGAGAAAGAGAGGACTGAAACAGAATTCTGAGTGTATGGATGGTGGAAGTTCACATAAAATATTTCTCTTGTAAAAAACACAGAAGAGAGCTAAAAACCTCCTGCACTAGTTTTCTCAGGTGGAGCTGTTATGAGTTCACAACCCTCACCATGAAAACAGCTGTGGCTGGGCAGGGAGTCTCCAAGCAATAGCTATTTCATGTGGTCATTTCAAATATTTAGTGTTTGTTTGAAACAACGAACAAGAATAACATCCCATTTGAAACAACAAACAAGAATAACATCCCAGTAGATTCCTATAAGCATATCAGCCTCTGAGGCTTTCCCTCAGTGAAACAGAGGCACCAGTAGCTCAGCTGTCCAAAACGTCCATGCGGTGGTAATCCATTAGTGGAAGGGAAAGTTCTCTTCTGTCATAATTTCTTGATCAGCTCTTTGTCCTGAAATCTCCAACAAGAAAGTATATTGGATTAGTATTATAATTTATAGCATTGAAATTGAAGATACAGAGAAGCTATTGAGATGACAAGAAAAATAAAAAGCACAATATGCATGAACATTGCTTTGTGTTTGTCTTGCAAAACATTTCAAATGTAAATCAGTGAAAGTGTGGGAAGCCAAATCCAAGGTTTTTTTACAAGTGTTTTAGATCCTAGAGCACATTGTTTTTCCTGCAACAAAGTCTCAGCCCACTGGACAGAAATTTAGTGGTTTTACCACTGGTGCTATTCAGAAGAAAAGTCAGCTTTATCCTTTTGTGAGAGTTCTGGCCTGCTCTGGGGTGGTAGGTGCTACTGTAATTTCTGAATCTCTGTCCAGCTTTTGGCATTCCCTCAGTCAGGAGAAATATTTGGCAGTATTGAAGTATATCTTGAGAAAGCAGATTTCTTGCCACAGTGAGCAATATCAAAATATTCCACAAGTTCTCTCAAAATGTGAATTAACATACATTCCATTCAGAGCGTGTTGCTCATATCCATCCCTTTCTTCCCTCCACTGTCAAAGCTTGCAGAACACATTTCTGAGCAGCACAGACAGTACAGAGCTTTGCAGTACTTCAAGTGGGAGGATGAAAGTGAGGGCACAGGCTTTCCCTGCTCCTCCAAGTGACGAGTGGAGGTAAAGAGGCTGGATACTGCCCCTCACGTGCTGCTGTTGCTGACAGCTTGCTCATATCCATCCCTTTCTTCCCTCCACTGTCAAAGCTTGCAGAACACATTTCTGAGCAGCACAGACAGTACAGAGCTTTGCAGTACTTCAAGTGGGAGGATGAAAGTGAGGGCACAGGCTTTCCCTGCTCCTCCAAGTGACGAGTGGAGGTAAAGAGGCTGGATACTGCCCCTCACGTGCTGCTGTTGCTGACAGCAGCCTGCAAGGACACACACAGAGCAGTGATTGCTGAGCTAGGAAGAAACACATAGATATGAAAGCAAAGTGCTTTCCATATAACCACTCACCCACAGTGTTTTGGGACTGCAGTGTCTCAAGGGCTTTGGTAGGTGTCTCCCAGCATCACAAGCAAATACAGGAGGGGGACTGAAGCAAAAAAGGAAGTCCAAGTGCCTGTGGCCTGATGAGGGAAGCAGAGCTTTGGGGGCAATTAATTTCTGGGTCTTGGAGTGTGAGAGGTGGCAGCCATGGCTCAGCAGGGCAGGCTCAGAGGTGAGCTGGAAGCCCCTCAGCATGGCACTGCAGGCCAGCAGTGACTGTCAAACTGCAGCATGGAATCTGTTTGCGTAGAGAAGATGGGTCAGGGATAACTTGCCCTTCACTCCTTGAGTCCTTGAGGGTGAGAGCAAGTGAGACCTCCATCAAAATGAAAATGGGGAACTGTCTTACGCACTGTTTTGTAATTTAGGAAGTAATGAAGACAAAGTTCATAGAGTCATAGAATGGTTTGGGTTGGAAGGGATCTTAAAGACCATCTAGTCCTACCCCCCCTGCCATAGGCAGGGACACCTCCTATGAGACCTGGTTGCTCGATGTCCCATCCAACCTGGCTTTGAAATGGTCACAATTCAGATGATGGTTACATACTTTTCTGCAGACCAGAATATCCAAGGTTGTCATAATAGTGGAAAGAAAAGATAGAGAGGGAGGCATCTTGACTTTATAGTGTTTTTCATATTTATCAAATCTCCAAAATATCAAATGGTAACTTTGCTTTAATTCTTCTCCACCTTTAGCTTTCTTGTTCCACATGCTCCCTGGGGTAATCCTTGGGGCTAAACCATAATTATACAAAGGGGTAGATATCTACATTGAGAATCAAATTTAATCTGTTTGTGAGAATGATGAACTTGTGACAGAAATGGAAGTATGTTTTGATTCCAGCTTTTCCTAGAGTTATTGATTCAAAGTGCCTTCAGTATGATTTCATCTCTGCAGTGGCATGATACAACACAGGCTGCAAAATTAAGTACAGCAATTGTGCAATTAACACTATTTATTATTACTTATCTGCAACTTTAAACTGTTTACAAGAAGAGAAATACCTGTGTATCCTTCTTGCTAGACCTTCCTATCTGCCTCTGCCATGCCATAGACCTCACTGGGTTGCTCAGGTGTTGGAGAAGTTTAGCTAGTCCAGATATCTTTGTAAGACATAGAGTTATGTACTAGAATGAAATAATCGAGACCTCACTGGGTTGCTCAGGTGTTGGAGAAGTTTAGCTAGTCCAGATATCTTTGTAAGACATAGAGTTATGTACTAGAATGAAATAATCGAGACCTCACTGGGTTGCTCAGGTGTTGGAGAAGTTTAGCTAGTCCAGATATCTTTGTAAGACATAGAGTTATGTACTAGAATGAAATAATCGTGTAACATTGACTCATCGAATGGCAGTGCAGTAAACCCCCCCAAACAGGATAGGCTTGTCTGTTGAGTGTTATGGATTAGCCAGCACTAGTCCACTGCTATGATGGTAACTCAGCCATAATATCCAAGATATGATGTTCTTGGAGTATTCAGCATACATCTCTTCATGCACAAATATAATAAAACTAATGTAATCTCA